GGGGGGCCTGGCAAGAGGGACAAAAACACACAACCCCTCCCCCCCTACCCGACAAGTGGTCGGCTTGCCTCTTAAAAGTGCCCAGCGGCTTCTATTGCGGAGGATCTCTCAGGGTTTTGTGGAACAAAAAACTCTGCAAAGTAAGGCAGAGAAAACCCGGGGCGGGGGGGGGGGTCCAGAGAAGACAGTGATCTGTGGGGGCCCTAGAGGGAGGAGGGGTGCCCAGGTGCCCACTCAGCCTGCCCCCGCCCCCCGTCCTCCCTCCATTTCCTGTTTTTGAGGGGCCTGTGCAAGGTGCCGGCACACACATGCTCTCTGCCCTGGAGGCCCGCAGTCTGGCAGGGGCGGGGCGGGGGGTGGAAGATGCCCACAGCAGGAGCCGGAGGAGTTGTTCCTTCATTGGGGGGGGGGGGGCAGGACTAGGCTGACGGAATCAAAACCAATAATAGCGATTGCAGCCTGGCCGGGGTGGCTCAATGGTTGAGTGTCGACCAATGAACCAGGAGGTCAGTTCAATTCTTGTTCAGGGCATGTGCCCGGATTGTGGGCTGGATCCCCAGTAGGGGGCGTGCAGGAGGCAGCCAATCCATGATTCCCTCTCATCACTGATGCTTCTATCTCTCCCTCTCCCTTCCTCTCTGAAATCAACAAAAATATATTTTTAAAAAATAGTGGATTGCAGGTCAGAGACCCAAATAAATAGCTTCAACGTTAGAGGAATCCAGAGGGAGTTCTGAGGGTGTTGTGCCATATGCCAAGAACTTGGTGTGGCCACCAGTCCCCCAGGTCCCCTCACGGTTTAAAGTGGCTGCAGCAGCTCCGGCCATCACATCTGCCTGCCGTCCTGCAGTAATGAAAGGGAAAGGGGAAAACCACGCCGTCTGTCACAGTCAAGCTCTGGGGGGCTGTCACAGGGCAGAGTGAGTGACAGGGCCACCCAGCTACCAGGGAGGGGAAGTTTCTATTTCAATGGCCATGCGCCCGCGTGCCCATGTCACCAGGAAAAGGGGGAGAGTGGCCACCAGCAGTGCCTCCAGCAACAGCGGCCCGAGGGTGCGTGTTGTTGGCACTCGGGAGCCTCACCTTCCCTCGAGTGGTCTCGCCGCCGCTGAGGACCGTGCCCAGACCACTAAGCTAAGGAGGTGGACAGCGGGCCCCAGGCAGCAGGGCTGCCCACGGGCGGAGGCAGCCGCCTCCCCCACTTGGGGTTCCAGCGAAGGGTGGAGAGGCTGAGGGGCGGAGGGAAGACAAAGCCCTCCCTCGGGGTGGCAGCGGGAGGTGGGGCTGGGTTTCCCTCCGGGGCTGGGGGTCCCCAGGAAAGGAGCGCTGCCCCTCCAGAGGCCCTGCCCCAGGGACAGCGCCCAGAGCCGGACGCCCCCACCTCTGCAGGGAGGGAGTGACCTTGCCCACTCTCCACCACTCGGGCAGCCAAGGTGTCTGAGCCCCAGCCCCGTCCCTGTCGTGGCCATCACATCTCACCCTTCACAGAACCCCTTGCCCCTCCCCAGAGAGCAGGGGGGCTGCCAGGGTCTGAGGTGGAGCTTGCAGAGGAAGAGGTGGCATGTGGGGGGCCCCCAGGACAAAACCCCCTCCAGGCCCAGACTGTCCTCCCAGCTCCTTGTTACCAGATTAGGATCCAGTGGGCACCTGCCTAGATGTCCTATGTGTATACAGGCACATGTGTGGGTGTGCATGCACACATGTGTGTGGTGTATGTGAGCATGCATGTGTGTGAGGTGTGTGCGTGCCCATGTGTATGTGAGATGTGTGTGTGTGCCCGTGTATGTGTGGTGTGGGCATGCATGTGTGTGAGGTGTGTGTGCGTGCCCGTGTATGTGTGGTGTGAGCATGCACATGTGTGAGTGTGTGTGTGTGCCTGTATGTGATGTGTGCACATGCCCATGTATGTGTGGTGTGAGCATGCACGTGTGTGTGTGTGTGCGTGCCCATGTGTATGTGAGGTGTGTGCGTGCCCATGTATGTGTGGTGTGAGCATGCACATGTGTGTGTGTGCATGCCCGTGTGTATGTGAGGTGTGTGCGTGCCCGTGTGTGTGTGGTGTGAGCATGCACGTGTGTGTGTGTGTGCACGCACTTGCTCACAGTGACTGGTGGGTCTGTCTGGGCCTGACACTGTGTTCTAATCAGCTCCCAGGGGCCTGTGTGGCTTGCCCAGGAGCATGGGACACTCGGATGGAAGGCCTATCCACTTAGGGCTCTCAGCGCAGGTTACCTGGCTCAGGTGTGCTCCGGGCATGAGTAGTCTGCGTCCCCTGGGGCCAGCCTTGGCCCTGAGTGTGTGAGAAGCAGGAATGAGAGAGGGGACAGAGGCCATGGAGGGAGCTTGGAGCCCCAGGGCCAAGCGGCCACCAGGACCTGCCTCCTATCCCTCCTCCTGCCCCTCCAGGCACAACGACCTGCCGTGGCAGCTGCTGCTCAGGTTCAACAATGAGCTTCGGCAGAAGAACGCCAACCTGAACACCCTGACGGGCACACACACCAACATCCCCAAGCTGAGGGCTGGTTTTGTGGGGGGCCAGGTACCGTCTGGCCAGCCCTGTGCTCACCCATCTTGGGGTCCACCCTCCTCCTCCCTTGGGTCCTGGCCAGTCTCCTTGGGGCCACAGACCTGGAGGGGACAGGCTGCGGGGACGGCTCCCAAGACCGGGGAGGGGGGACCAGACATTCATAGGGGGGGGCAGGCCTGGAGCCTCCGGTCCTAGCCCTGCCCCGTGGCCCCCAGTTCTGGTCTGCGTACACGCCCTGCGACACCCAGAACAAAGACGCTGTGAAGAGGACGCTGGAGCAGATTGACGTCATCCACCGCATGTGCCAGATGTACCCCGAGACCTTCCAGTGTGTCACCACCAGCCAAGGTAGGTGCCGCCGGCCACCTCCCTGGCCCCACACCGCCCTCTAGTGAGCAGAGGCTGCTGGTGCGTATG